TGAAATGTGACTTGAGATCAGGAAATATCTCTTCCTATATCACAGACAGACATCATGGGCGATGCGAGACTGTTGCAATGGCTAATGTTTGGAGGACCGATGACATGGCTACAGGGTTTATTATATCATTGCGTGGCCATGCCTTAGACCTATTAGAGACTCTTCCGCCAGCTTTCCAACGAAACTATGGGGCGCTTGTTGATGCGTTAGAGTGTCGTGATGGAGATCAACATCGAAGACAGCTCTACTAGGTACAACTAAGAAAACGACAACAAGAAGCTGCAGAAAGCCTACAAGAATTTGCAACCAACATTTGCCTTCTGGTTAATTTAGCCTATTTGGAAGCAGCAGCAGAAATGCTAGAACAAGCAGCCGAAAACATTATAAATGGAGTTCGTGATATGGACATACAGAGAACACTGCTCATAAGCAAACCATCAAATAGCAACGAAGCCTTGATTAAAACCCTAGAAATTGAAGCAGCATATAAGATATCCGAGCAAGAGTTCAGAGCTGTCTCAATACAAGGGGAAGCAGAACCAATGGAGAAAAATTGAAGACACAATGAAGGAAATTCTGGAAGAAATGCGAATGAGTTAGAGTTTCAGAAGCAATCGGGGTAACTGGAAAGAGGAATTGAATGTTACCACTGTAGTATAAAGGAACATCCAAAACGTAACTGTAGAGTACGGCTAAGATCTCGCTCTCCTTCTAGTGACTCTCAGCCTTCAAAGGACAACTAGGAAAACTACAATCAGTCAACACATAGAGGCGTTGGCTAGTGCAAGTGAGGCTACCATAATCATAGCCATCACATTGATAGGAAAGACTGCGGACAGTTTGACTAGGTATTGAAGGAAAAATTAACAGGAGAAATATCAATCATCATAAAAAAAAAAGAATTTGCCAAACCAAAATCTGCCTGTATCGAGGATTTAAAAAAAATTGTTTGCTGAAAAGAGGCAAGAAAAGTAGCCATAGATAAGAAGTGTCATATTCTATATTTTTGTTTCTCAAATAATGTAATATTAATGTTACCTATTCTTATTGTTGAATTCCAAATACATATTGTAGGTATATCAAACGTTTTATTTCTAAGCTTGTTTTATTTTCTGGAAGGGGACCGTTAAGAAAGTTTGATACAGGGCCCTCTTAGGTCTAGCTACGCCACTGCTCGTTAGAGAAACTTTGATAAACTCACAAGGAATTATACTAGTCCGACTAGCCAACATCTGCTACAACACCATTCAAATCAGTAAGGGCGATGTCATACCGACGACATATGAGCCTGTCAAAGAGATGCTGAAGAACATCAAAGAAAGAAAGGAAATAAATCATCCGGCGTCATTCTAAGACAATTCGAAACATCTTGGCAACATCTTTCCTCTACAGAACTAAAAAAGGCTCGAAAGTTCCTTGGTAAGTACAAGAATATCTTTGAGAGTTTAAATGGCGAAACAAGCATGAAATCAATACTGGCAGTGCTCATCCAATCCGTCAACCACCTATAAGATTTCCTATGACGAAACAACAAGAAGTTGAGTCATTAGTAGACAGTGTGCTTGCAGAGGGAGTTGTTGAAGAGTCTTTAAGTCCGTGGTCATCGCCAATTGTGCTAGTAAAAAAGGAAGATGGATCTACCAGACTTTGCGTTGAGAACAGAAAGCTTAACGATATAAGAAATACAGTTACCCATTACCCAGAATTGACGACACCCTTACGACATTGGCAGACTCGAATTGGTTTTCTACTTTGGATTGGATTCAAGGTAATGTCTTTTGGACTGTAATACCCTTGCTACTTTTGAGAGGTTGATGGAAATCGAACATACGTGGGAAATATGCCTTGTCTATCTGGATGATGTGTTAGTGATGGGAAAAACTATCGATGAGCACCTACGAACCTTACGAGTAGTACTTATTCGTATCCGTAAGGCAAACGTCCGATTAAATGACAAGAAATATTCACTCTTCCAACAGCGCGTTGATTTTCTTGGCCACGTAGTTTCACTAGAAGGAATTCATAATGACGAGAGAAAAATCCAAGCAATTCGTAATTCGCCTCGACCTCGAAATGGAACTCAGAAGTTTTCTTGGCCTTTGTACATCCTACAGATGATTTGCTAAGGTAGCAGCGCCGTTGCATAAATTCACTGAAGAAAAAGCTAAAGGCAGCTCTATGTTCCAGCTCTAAATTAGGCTATCCACGGATAGGTACATGGAAAATTTATTCTGGACAAAGACGCGAGCCACACAGGCATCGGAGCAGTCCTGTCGAAAATACAAGGTGGAGAAGAAATGGTCATTGAATACTACAGTAGAGTGCTTACCAAGCCCGAGAGAAATTAGCCTGTTACAAGAAAGGACTGTAAGCAATATCCAGATCGGTTGACCATTTGCACAAGCACTTGTATGGACAAGAATTTCTCATTAGAACAGACCATGCATCGCTAAAATGGCATCTCAACATGAAACAACCAGAAGGACAGGTAGCAGGATGGCTGGAGAAGTTACGGCAGTACAATTTTCGAATCAAACACTGTTCTGGTAAACTGCATAGTAATGCAAATGCCTCAGGCGACCATGCCCAGCTCAATGCAAGAACTGCGTCAGAATAGATCAGCTTGAAGGAGTTCGTGATTTGAAACGGATCAAGAATGGAGTTCCGAACAGCTTAGAAGTGGCCAATAACAAGATAGTGACATCAAGTCATTTTAAAATCTAAAGGAATACGGAAAATCCAAACCAACGTGGCAATAAATATCATCTAGCAGAAAATGGTTTACTGAACCTGGGAGAGTGCAGATGGTGAAATGGTCAACACGCAATTGGTCGTGCCTAGGACAAGAGTTTTAGAAGAAGTTCAAAATGGGACATCCGGAGCTCACTTGGGAGTTGACAAGACCTTGGACAAGATCCGTGACAGATTCTATTGGGTGAACTATTACCAGGATGTCAAAACATGGTGTCGCCAATGTGCGCCATGCGCAGCAAGTCAATTAAGGACCCAAAACACGCTCAAAGGGATAAATTGAAGAAGTACAAGTGGGAATGCCTTGCAAACGAATGGCAATAGACGTAACCGGTCCATTTCTTGTCACGCAGAGTGGCAACAAATAAATCTTAGTTGCCATGGATTATTAGCTAGTGGCCAGAAGTTTTAGCTATTCCACATCAAGAAGCATCTACAGTTGCAATAGTCCTCGTCAATGATGTTTTTACTAGGTTTGGAATCCCATTTAAACTCCATTCAGATCAAGGGCGGAATTTCGAGTCACGACTATTTTAAAATTTTTACGAACTGTTAGGCATTCACAAGATCAGAACCACGGCATTGCATCCACAATCAGATGGCAAGGTTGGAAGATTCAACAAGATAATCGAGGAACATCTCTCAGTAGTTGACAAGCATCAAGATGATTATGATGATTATAAACAATAAACCTCTAGTACTGATGGCATGCAGGTCAGCAGGCAACAGGAATTAAACCAGCCAAAGGTATTCGGATCACCAGGATTGTGTTCGAGAACCTGGTGTGTCGCAAAAAAATCACACAGCTGCCATTTGGAATGGTGGAGTGTGAATAAAATTCACGCAGTATTCGGCGTTCGGAATGGTAGTTGTCACGTACTGGTACGCGCATCGAACGCTCTAGTCCCGACTAGAGTGTAATTTAAGCTGACATTATATGACACTGACATTTTTAGGATGCAAAACAGGTCTGTTCTCACAGAAATCACAAACCAGTCAAAAGAAACTTCATTGGTTGAGAATAGTCAGAAAACTCTTTGTTGACGATTTGCACCAATCAAAAACGCTCTGACGGGTTTATGATTTGTGTGAAAACAGACCTATCACCTCTACTTTTGTGAATTCAATTCAATTTTATAAAAAAAAAACAACGCAGCCCAGATACCGCCGACATAGAAGTCGAAGACTATGCTGACCAATGAACTATAACCAAGAAGTGGAATGCGCACACTAATTGCCATATGCGCCAAAAAGTGGAGCCAACAAAGACGGATGCCACAAGGAGAATGTTGTTCTTTTTTGTTGCTCGCTGACATGTGACGTTTTGGGAAGTTTCGTTATCTTTAACTACACAGGTTTTATCAATTATTGTAATATGTGTTGAAATCAATTTCCGCCATTTAACGTAATGAGTGCGACAAAAACAGGCATCCCCTCCGCAGCAGCGGCACTAGGCTTCACGTTCATCTATATTTATGCGCATTCCAGTTCTTGGTTATAGTTCATTGATGCTGACAATCTGCGAAAAAGGCTGCTTGACATCCATGACATTGAGAATTTAAAATTTTGTGCTACAACTCACCCCAGCCCGGAGGGTTGAGTAATAGCTTATTTCGAAGGGCCTCCGACACTCAGCATACCCAACAGGTTTCAGGTCCTTAACAATCGTTTAATAATTAAAAACACTTATTTCATGTCTTTGATGAGCTGTAATATCAACGGTGGTGACAGCAGAGATTTGAAACTTGTAAGTTTTAAATAAGGACCGGAAAACCTATAAAATGATGTATGACTTGGTTAGATTTTTAAGGGGGCGGCTGGAGGGGCGAGGGGGTTTAAAGAGAGGAAATGAATTTTGCATAAAAACTTTTTCCCCTTCGAATTATAGTTGACGTGTTTCAGGATTTTTTTCCAAAATATTCTGGTTAAGAGTTAATAGGGGAAAGAAGACTGCAAATCGACACCCTGTATGTATTTGGTATATTAACCAGTATTTGCTGATTCTTCCGTAAATAACAAGAACCTGACCGAAAATTATTATTGGATTAGGATATTTTCATAAATCATGCTTTGCTATTGAAATGTTTGGGAGGATACCCAGTATTTGTCATTGATTTACTTTTATCAGTGATAATAATAACAAAAGATGGTTGCAGCATTTAGTGAAAAAACCTATCGAAAACTAGACTTTTTCAGCAACACAATGTTTTGTTTGCTTTTTATTTACACTGCTTATTTATTATCTTCAGGAGGAAATGGAACGCAAAGGGCTCGTTCTGGAAGCGAAACCATACAGTCGCGCTTCGTCCACGCCGCTCAGTCCGAGGATCGTCGAAAGTTACTACGAAAACGAGTTCATGGATGCAATGCGGTCCTGCCAAGCCCAAGAGGACGACGAGTACTTCAAAATGGAGGAGTACAGTCGCGACATCTACTGGTATTTACGCGAGCTGGAACAAAAAAACCGCGCCAAAACAGAATACATGAACAAGCAGCCGGACATTTCGGCTTCGATGCGATCGACTATGGTGGACTGGCTCGTCGACATGGCTGAAGAGTATAACCTGCACACCGAAACTTTGTATTTGACTGTCAACTATGTGGACAGGTTCCTGTCGTACATGTCAGTTGTCAGATCTAAGTTCCAGCTAGTAGGCACAGCTGCCATGTTCTTGGCTTCAAAGTACGAAGAAATTTATCCGCCAAAAATAGGCGAGTTCATTTACACTAAACACCAAATAATCCGCATGCAATACTTGATTGTCAAAGTTTTGAATTTTGACCTCAATTGCACCACTCCGTTAACTTTTATCAATACAATTTGCACCACAAACAAATTGGAAGACAAACAAAAATATTTTGCAATGTACTTGTGCGAGTTGTCCATGTTGGAGGTGGAAGCTTTTTTGGAATTTCTACCCAGTCAATTAGCTTGCGCCGCTATAGTCATCGGCCGATTGCACCTGGTCGGACCAAAATTGGCGTGGTCGGAAGATTTGCAACAGTACACCGGCTACAAGTTGCAAACCCTAGAAAATCCTATCAGGTTTTTATACAGGATGTTCGAGACGGCTCCCGCCAGTCCTCTGCGCGCCATCCGAGACAAATACAAAAGTCAAAAATACATGAACGTCTCAGAAATGGAACCAAAATATGAACAGTTTCCGTTTTAGATTTGATTAAGTATCCGTAAATTGTATGATATATACTGAGTCTTATTCCAAAGTCGCTTAACCCTACACCTTTTCAATTTTAAAAAATAAACAAATGAAAGTCGGTGTGTCGTTTTAGAACAAAAATGTTAATTACCTAATAATTGACGTTTTCAATATTTTTTTCCTTATGCTTATTTATTTTAAATCAGACGACCAGTATATCTTTGGTTATTTCGAAAAAAAACAAAAAAAAATAAAAATTACTTACATCAGGACTGCAATAATTTCGGATTTGTCGCTTTTTGACATTCCAGGCCCAAACCATTTAAATTATTAGTTTTGAGTCTAGAGTTTTTATTTTGTTTGTATTTTATATCTTACTCACTTGTTTGTGCTAATTTTTACTTTGGCGTTCAATCAATTTTTTCAAATGGAAGGGGTATGGCTCATTATCATATATGTATTATTCGAAAAATTTTGGGCTTATTTTGCATGATTTATAAGGTTTATAAAATTTTATATATAAATTTGCTTGTTAATTTAAATTTATAATTTTGATAATGTATTTTGTAACCATTAATTTGATACCTACCACATACCACACAATCGCTAGTTCAAGACGTCTTATTTTTGTATTAATCAATTTTAAGTCAATGTTTGAGAATTATAAATCTATCATCTAAATATGATGTATGTATACAGGGTATTTCAGGAATGGTGGTACAAAGTTTAAGAGCTAAGGAAAAGAGTTCCTATGAATTTTGGTCCGGAAAAGTTTCGTTTTCGAGGTATATAAACTAACCTAAACCAACCCACAAAAGATCAACCGCTCGATTTATCGTAAAGATTGTGACCATTTTTGAAAAACAACAAAAGATACAGGGTGTTTCACGAACATCGAAATACAGGCGTTTTGGGGCATTTTAAAGTCGATTTTAAAAAAACGCCCAGACATGTCAATTTTGTATTCAAGGGGGAAACTTCTTAACCCCATCGGCATTTCGCTAGGGTGCTCACCCTGGGTGGGGTGACTTATACCCCTCTTTTTTTGATAGGGAAGATGGGTCGAGTGGTACCAAGTTTTAAAGGTATTTTTGATTCTTGTCACAACTGCGTATCTTTTTTGAAAATCGAATGATTGGTTCTCAAGATATTCACTGTTAAAGTTGCCATGAGCTAAATAAGAAACAATTTTCTGGCCCTGTTATTCTTAAATTAACACTTTCCTGACTCTCCTCTCGGATTCGTCAATTTTAATTTTTTCAGAAGCACACAAAAAATTAAAATTGACGTGTCCCAGAGGAAATTCAGGAAAGTGGTAATTTGATAATAACAGGGCCAGAAAATTATCTCATATTACGCTCATGGCAACTTTGACAGTGAATAACTTGAAAACTATAATAATCATTCGATTTTCAAAAAAATACGCAGTTGTGACGAGAATCAGAATACCTTTAAAACAACGTACCGCTCGACCTATCTTCCTTATCTAAAAAAGAGTCGAGAAAGTCACCCCACCCAGGGGGTGCACCCTAGCGAAATACCGATGGGGTCAAAAAGTTTCCCGCTTGAATACAAAAATGACGTGTCCGAGAGTTTTTTCTAATCGACCTTCAAATACCCTAAGACTCCTCTGTTTCAATGTTCGTGAAACACCCTGTATATACGCTCTGTACGATACTTCAGCTATTTATCTTAAAAATTGAGAAATATTATCCAAAAAAAAACATTTAATTTCTTTAATTCCTAGCTCCATCAACTCGGAAACGAAACGTTTCCGGATCCATATTTATAGGAACTTCTTTTTCTTATTTTGATGAGTTATATCTACCCTTAAATTTTGTAACACCACATTTGAAATACCCGATAGCTTTTAAAACTTGTAAACAGTTGACAACTGTAAATAATATGTAAATATGTGAGAAAATGTTGTCAATAAAATCCATTATTAGGAAAAATATTAATTCCAGGAATTATAAAGAATTGCAAATAAAATTCGAATTCCTAAAAACAGCAAAAAACTTATATTTATTCAGAGACATACACATCCGGTTAGTAATTCAGGGTAATTAGAAATAACCTAGATCATAATATGTATTTTAGGTAGTAGTTGAATGAATAAATAACAACCCAGAGAAGAAAAGGCTTGTGTGAAAACATATACGAAAATTATAGGAAAATCACAGGCTATCAGCGTATTTCATTACCAAAACATGGACGTAAAATTATATAAAATATGAATTTAGATAATGTAGGATGCTTAGCTGAGACTATATTTAATAACTAAGTATTCAGCAACAACTGGATGCAAAATAAAGCGTCGTTCGGCTAACGGCAATCGCGTGCGGAAAAATGGTATTTTCCGCACTTGTTAGGATCACAATTTCTCCTACGAAATTGCGGAAAAAATCTTTTCCGCACGCACGGAGAAATTACCTACTCTTTCCGTTCACCAATGCGTGCGGAAAGGGGACTTTCCGCACTCTCGTAGGAAATAGTTATTTTCCTAACAAGTGCGCAAAGTGTTACTTTTCCGCACGCAAACACAGTTATACGAACGACGCGAAGCGGAGTTCGGATACGTGTTTGCGTGCGGAAAAGACACTTTGCGCACGTGTTAGGAACAAAATTTTTCCTACGAGCTTCATATCAGGTAGGTAACAACAAAAATTTAAAAAAAAAACGATAATTTGTTTAATTATTTTTAATTAACTTGAAGGGAACCTATGCATTTATCAAAAAATTACATAACAAAAAAAAAATATAACAGAAAATCATCGTCAGAGCTCTTCATCTTAAAAGCGTTTAATGGCGATTTCCATTTGTCATCAGTGCCGCACTGAGTGCATCCGCATCTTTTTCTAAAAGCATGTAACATGTAAGGATAAGGATACATTTTTTTGCCCTGTTTCGACAAATGGAAAATGCTATAAATTTGATGAGAAAGTTTGTAGATGCATATATATAGAAAACAATCTGACAATGTGTTGAAGTTAATTAAATTTGGTGTTTGTAGGTATAGATGTTAGCTGGAACAGGAACAGAGGAAAAATTTGTCATCATGTGTCAAAGTCGACAGGTGTACTTATTGTTGCTTGACAATTATTTTTACTTTTCGGCACTCAGTGCGGATAAGGCCTGTATCCGCACTGAGTGCGGAAAAGTGCAACTTTGAGAACCGAAATGCGTGCGGAAAAGTACTACTTTGCGCACGCTCGTAGGAAAAATAATTATCGCAGAGCTATTGTTTCCACAACGCAATAAAAACTAGTTCTTTTTTGAATGGAAAAATATGGCACCCGTCGAATTTGTATTGTTCCCAAAATTTGTAATTCAGTAATTTCATTAATATTGTATGCTTATTGAAGCTGGATTCACGAATTTATATATAATTAAAATATTTATATGTAATTGAAAGTACATAATAATTTATCGATCAAGTAATGTTATTACTTTCTAGTAGAGCGGCACCACATTAATGATTATTGAACATATAACTTTGATATCACAGTTAGAAAGTTTATGCCTATTTACATATCGCTGCCCCTGTAGAATATCGACGTAACTGCAAATCTGAGAATTTTACAGGAAACGCAAAAAACAAAAAAGTTTTTTTAAATTTTCATGTTGCTAAGAACTTAATTTACCGATTATCATGGATAATTGCTGTCATACTATAAAAGATACGTAGTATAGTATGACTTAACTATGGTTTTTCTCCGAATGAAATTAAAGTTAAATTTGAAGTTATGCCAGTCAACTTCAATTTTTTAATTCAATAAAACAACCATAACATAACGCAAAATAATACATATAATTTTGAATTTTAGCAATAGTACTTCTCAACGTTCGTCACCATGCGCGATCATGCCCTCTCTGTGACTCCCCGTGTCACAGCTCCCCCACCAGTCCGCGTCGCGTCATCTTCCTTTCGTTAACACTGACGTGGAGCACAGTGGCGAACCTTACTAGTGACGGCGTGTTTTCGTGGAATTTCCCTAGTTGATCTTCTACCTACATCAAAAACATATACTTACGTTAATTTGGCGTTAGATTCGTGACCTTGTTAATCACAGACAATGGAAATAATATAGTCAAGTAAACGTGCACAATATTGAAGAAACCTAATAGATATAAAAAATTAAACTAAGGAATCCCTTTTTACCAAACAATTAACCTAATCACTTTATGAATATACCCTGTAAACAATTAAACAATATAGAAAGAAAAAACTTCAAAATTGTAATCAAGCTGTTTAACTTTTGTCAGAATCAACCGGATTCTGAGCTCAAAATCGTAATCAAGCTATTCAAGTTTTGTCAGAATCCACATCGGATTCTGAACTCAAAATCGGAATTAGGCTGTTTAACTATTGTCAGAATCCCTTTCGGATTCTGAGCTCAATATCGTAATCAAGCTGTTTAACTTTTGTTAGAATCCACTTCGGATTCTGAGCTCGGAATCGTAATGAAGCTGTTTAAATTTTGTCAGAATCCACTTCGGATTTTCAGCTCACTACTACTTCGAAGTCCTTCAACTTATCGAGGGATACGTTTCCTCTATATTGTCTGTGTGATCGAGAAGAGCCCTTTAGGTCCTTGACAAGGCTCAGTAGACCTGCCCCCCACCCCCCCCCCCCCCCCCCAGTTGATAATTTTTATCCAAAACGCTAGCCCTCGTTCTCCAGAGCTAGCGTAACCTAGCGCAACTTTTTCGAAAGCTAGCGCAGCTACAGGTCAAAAGATATGTGGCTTTATATTCGGGGGGGGGGGGGGGGGGCTAGGGTGACGCTAGCCCCCCCCCCAGTTATTCGATCTTCTCAAAAATGCTGGCGCACATTCGTAACACCTAGCGCAGCCTAGCGCAAGTTGGGTCATAGCTAGCGCAGCTA